TACGATAAAACTTGGGTGTGATTTTACAGCGAACTCAGGCTGAAGTGGCAGTCATAACAAGTGCCGCATATGCAGTCCTCTGAGAAATCCTACCTTTTTTTGTTCTTATAATGGAAGCAACCATTTATAAACTGAGAGGGGGGTTATGATATGGAATGTCTGCACATATTAAAAACGTCAACATTTCAGAGGTGTATATAAATTCAGTATACATCACACAATGCATACACAACAAATGTTTCCAAAATAGTATTTGCATGCCATCACCTGATTTGTAATGGTTTATCCACAATGTTATGGGGGAAACTCAATAACGACTTTGTCGACGTCACTGGTAATTAAATTAGTACCAGACTTTCCTTCGCTGTAATTACTATGTTTTAGTGCGCCCACTTGAAACACTAGCGGTCTACTCAAAAAAAAAAAAAGATAACGGCATCGCTCTCTTTTCATCCACGCATGCACGTAATTAAAGATTTGAGCTTCAGCATTACAGCATTCACTGGCTTCTCGTGTTTCACCGCCGTATGGCAATGGGGTACGCGCACACATGCACGGTGATACCATGCTACGTCATGAACACCCCCAGAATTAAAAGAAAAATTTTGTGAGACTTTTTTGCATGGCTATTTTCGATACACCATTGACAGTTTACGACTAAAGAGAACTATTCTCAAGTGAGGTTCTGTAACAAAGTATAGGCATTTCTCTAGAGAGCTATGTCCCCTGTCATTGCTAATAAGCTTCGAATATGGGTACTTAGACACAGTGGACTGTCTGAGATAATGGGAAGCTGCTAGACTGAATCATACTATCTATGTTTTTTTACGAAAAGCCTTTTAAGTCAATAGACGCTCACGAAAAGAGCTCATACAGACACAAAACGCGGGAATGTAACACTTTCTGCAGGAAATCGACAAATCCAACTTGCAAGATGCTTACACTGAGGTGGGGTAACACGAGACTCACTCCATGTAAAGAAAGGGCAGAGAGGTTAAAAAAACAGCTGCAACTACAACTATAAATTTTGTAAAAAAAAGTACACTAATGGGAAAAATACAGCATCGTGTTAAATTGGCAGATTCTTTTTTTTTTCACTTGGAAAGAGGTCGCTGCATATCTACTATATTTTGATACACTGCTACATTTCCATCTTTCTCAGCCCGTTGAGAGACGTGCATTCATGGAAGAGGGATAACACTGCCACGCCCACCTGGTTATTTTTTCTTCGGGGGTCAGTGTCGTATTGCAAACAGTATATAGTAATTGCAAATAGTTTCATGATCAAAATACAAGATTGGAGTTACTCGTGTTTGTTAACACTAGTATCAATTTAAATTTAACATTCGAAAGTTTTATGCAAAAACTAATAAATTATTTCCTTCACAGAAACCTCTCCGCAAAATATTCACATTAAATATATATATATATACATATATATATATGTGTATGAGTGTGTGTACATATATATATATATACGTGTGTGTACAAACCGCTCGTTTCAGTGAACTACGGAGATGATATTTTAGCCTAACATCTATAACTCGGTTTGATACTGCGCCGACTGGATATCCATCTGCACAGAAATTAATGAATCTTATGAGATTGTAATGGTAAACTTGTAAACTATCTGGCATGTTAGTCACAGACAGGACATATTTAGTAATTGCTTGAGATTGGAAAGTTACACGGGGTCGAAGGTTATAATAGAAATAGGTAATTTGATGTTTATTTCATTTGCGATGTCAGTCTAAGTTACTCTTCCCCTCCGTCTCAGGTGTTTCATTCAATATTACCGCACAAGTATTTTTTTTCTATTAGAATAAATACCGCCTAGGTAATGAAATATGAGAGGTGTACAAAACAGACATCGTCGATATAGCACAATGAAATTTGACAGTGTCGCTGTATTGACAAGCAAACTCAGGAAAGAGTTTTCACGATCGCATTAACATTCATCAAAGGTTAGGGGGTCATTTAGGAGGATGCGCTTGAGAATAGTATAACAGTCAGATTGAATGTTTGTTGTAATTGGACGAATCTGAGCGGAGCTAATTTCGAATTTGTTATGGAAAACTCTTTCCCTCAGTTTGTATATTTTTTTTTTCGTTTTTCTTTGCGTGCGCTTATGCCTTAACACGAAGGGTGCCGTTCAGTTTCTTCTGAGCGCTTCTCTTTCGCTAATAAAACGTCATGTCCACTGTTCTCTGAAACCATATTGGCACCTTGACATCATTTCTCCCAATTATTTCAATATTATTCTTATGCAAATAATTGGAGTTTCTTTTTTCCAACACTTTGATGCGGTAAAAAAGAACACGTGTGTCGGTGCGCAGTCGTGTTAGAGATACTTCAATTAGCGATAATCATATTAACTTCAAAGGAAGCCTGGTATGCACCCCTGCTGATGTCTGCATGCATCAATTTGTGGCTATATCCTGTTTGAACTATCCAAGGTTAGCTACCCAAGCTGGCTAATCATCGTACTGTATAATGCACGGTACACTGTCGGGTATTATAGTAAGATACATTTCGAGACTATTTGTTATCGGGAGGTTGAAAGAAGTATTAAATTAAATACAGTTATTAATATGTACGCAAAGTTGTATGTGAGGCGACGCTGAGACACGTCATGGAAGTCAAATGATGGAACGCACTCCGGATCCGCATCGTGGATTTAAAATGAGAACATGGCAGAGTTACTGTATATAGTATAGTGTTAAAACACCTATATCCGGGGAAATAGTTTCTAGCAGATGTAATATGACTACATAGCGTCATTTCTAATGCTAACATGAAGCTACATTTGCATTTCGCTTGTGCGCCTAGAACTAAAAGACATCAGCCATTAGACTCCTGATAAAATACACCACCCTCTATGACTGCTTTATCTATTTTCTTTTCACGTAACCAACCCCTTCCTCCAACAACAACATAAACTAGCAACCCTGGGGAGGGGAATTTTATAACGGTATTTGTCGTATTCAGCAGTTCAAAGCATGTTCCATGTTCGAAGCATGTGTCTTGTACAAGGACAGCAAGTCTGCAACATAAACGTTCGAGGGGGGAAGTGACGAAATTTCGATTCTAGTTATGTTATTAAATGCTCGGGTGATTTCACCCGAAGGAACGTTGTACCAATTAAAATACTCCTGCTTGGTGCGTTTCATGATGTATTGCTGGAAGTCAAGATCTAACTCCTACACTAATCAAACACTAATTGACCCGCGATAAACACAGGAACGGAAAAGTTTACATTATACCGAAGCATAAGTCTGCAAGGTTATGAGTGCTAATTAGGACCGGTTGTACATTCCTGCTATTCAAATGTTGCGATCGTCCATGCATATTGTACATTGCAAAGAATAGTAGCGACACGAACTCGATTATGTATCCATCAACAGTGTGCTACATTATTATTATTATTATTATTATTATTATTATTATTATTATTATTTTTACCTTCGAATGAACGTCTGAACACTAGGGGATAGTATGAACTATTCTTTTGTTCAATGTTACTAAATAAAAAAGGAAACCTGAGACGCCAGGCCAATTATCAAACAAATTGAATAATCTAGGCTATATAGCTATTTAATGAGGTGGGTTGAGTTACAGATTTAAAAGCTGCCTGATAATGGTAGGGGCACGTAACCTTTACATAATATTTGTCCAGCATCCCCCGCCCCCGCCAATCTAGCACACAATAATGGCACAGTTCCATCGAACCTCCAAAAGATTCTGGAGTCGGTGGAATGCATCTGTTCGCCAGCGGAGTTTTTTGTTGTTTTATAAACTCCAGCTTACGATCATGAGATAAATATTGATAAACGTATTCAAATACCATCTTCGGGAAAACCACATGACGGTCATTCATGCAGAAACCCATGCAGTACAAAATAGCCATCCAATGAATGCATTTATGATCCTCGTTTCCTGGACGATCAAAGGACGGTCGATGGTCATAGTTTATGACAACTAATACCTTCCATGTGAAAACTAAGACTTTGATATGTATTTTGTGCTGAATCGCACTTGGAGGATTTTCCCTGAGTGCCTTTTAGCTAATCCCGTAAAATGCCCTCATTGAATAAGAGTTCGTCTGTTCAAAATTGGACAGATAGCGAATCATTAGAACACACTAAGACTTGTTTGAAGCCTTTATCTCTAATGGTCCACTATCAAGACGCTTTCTTCCAGCAAATATCTAGGGAGGGGGGGTCTGCATGGCTGGAAATTGGTATGCCATCTATCTTAAAAAAAACTTCGAATCAAAATATTTATTTATGGCGTTGTAGATCACATTCATTGTAACTTGCCAGTAAATTAATATTGATAGAAAACAAAACTTTTAGCGAGTTACCGTGGAATGCAACACCTTGGTGTTAAACAAGCAGGTCAATTGGAAGTATGGCCCTTGGGAGGTGTAAGACCTTAGATCAATGTATAGCTGAGCAATCTTCTAGTAGCGTCGATGTGACCTGTTTGACTCCACATACATCCGCTAAGACCTTTTTTTTTTTAGAAATAAGTCAGTCGAACCCAAACATTTAACACGTTTCTGTTTGGCTTTGAAATGGCAAAGTATTAGTACGAGTTGAGATTAAGTAAATACTAGCACACTGTATGTAAATGGTAAGACTAACATTATGTCACATGTGGCCGGCTTTTGACCGGAATCGCCTGTATTGACATTCAACGTGCAAGAAGTTTGTTTGCCAAGCTGGCAGGCATTTTACACACATTGCGATATGCTTTGCCACAACGTCAGAGCATGGATCTACACACATATGGATGTTGGCGTTAGCGGTCGATATATAGCTATGACAGTTCTGTCACTGCGATCTGCTCATATTATAAACAGTATAGTAGTTGTATGGCTTCGATTGTAGCTGACATTGGCAATGCGGCTGGCCACTTTTCAACAATTAGATTACCTCCACGCCATAAATAAAACACTAAAGCATATATATTAGGCAAACATATGTTGCATAGCTTACCTTTGCTGGTAACGTCCCATTCAATATCTTCGGCGACATCAATCGTAGAGCTTGGCGTTTCATTTCGATGAGTCTGGTATTGCAATGTTCACACCAAACCCCGGCTACGTTGCTGTTTTGTCCACAGCCGGTACTCGGTGACGAAGACCTTGGCATTGTTGCCGATGACACAGTATTTGCACTAGCATCCAGGTGTTGCTGACGACCAGCCTTTGCTCGTTCCCGTTCTCTCTCCGCTATGACATTTCCAACCGGTGTAGGAAGGTGCGACACGACGCCTTGTTGCTGGGCTTTTCTAAAAGCCGCCTCATATATCCGTGTGGGTAGAGCAGGGTAAGTTGTGCTGGTTCAACTGCCTGCTTAAAACCAAGAAGAATAAAGAAAATAAGCTGATCCAAGGTCGACGACTTAAAGTTGTCCTGGAGACGCGTGATATTTGTAGTTCAAGTCCATTATTTAAAAGTTGTGAATTAATTTGAATATCAATGCGGAATAAGGATGGCTGTGTGCTGTGGTCTTGGTCATTTTAAGAAAAAATATAAGCTTACCATGTTTCTCCTAGCCTCGTTCATAAATCCACCTCTACTATCTTTGGCCACTGAATTCATACTTATGGTTTGGGTGTAATCTGCAGATTCCTGCGACAAAAAACAAAAGTAAAAATAGTTCTTATAAATATATACATGATACTTTTACACAATCCAAAACAAAATGTTTACGTACACTTTTAAACGGGGCTTACTAGCGTACAGTGGATTGAGGTTCGGCTATACTGGTCATGGGGCTGTGGTACACAACAGCGCGTTTATTACACCATGGTTATCGGAGCTATCCCTGGTGTAGTGGAACCACTACAATACGGAACCGGTATTCAATGAATCGGTCAAGTTCATCTATTCACGGCCGCTGTACCATCAGACCCCGTCACTGTGCGAATGTGCATATATACATTGTGATCTATACGTTGAACTTAAACATATGCGTATATGGTATATTCAATTAATCACTCCAAATATTTGAATGGGCTGTTCCAATAATACATACACACCCTCTGCGTGAAAGAAAAAGAATACTACACATGCCAGTACGGCGTCTCGCCTCTAGTAACCTCGTTACCAGCAATATACATTGGGCGGAAGGAAGCCCTGTGGAAAACCCGCTTGCCTTCGCCTCTAAAAAATAAATGGAGGCTCGTTATATTTATTTATTAATCAAATAAATGGTTTGATGCGACTGAGTATATTGTTAATTCTCATGGTCTCGTCAAATCTTCATTTAAACGTATTTACAGTGTCGGGTAGGTAATATATGTTATATATGGGTTGCTGAGATCGCAGCCATAGAGTGGCCCTATTAGCGAAGTGTAGTATAAACTATTATTACAAATGAGAAAAACAATATTTTACGTTTAGAGAACGTTTCGCGGAATGATGAATTCGCAAGCCATACTTTTTTTGGAGGTTTGTGTTGTAGGTTGCCTGCCCGCTTCACTGGTCTCCATGCGGGGTTGAAAGTCTATATCACTCAGTTTGTAATTAGCCGTCGTGGTACACTAGATAGGGCCAGGCAACACTCAAGTTGGGGTGCGTCAGGCATTCTGCCGCCACAAAGGTGTTATATATTGGAATTGTAAATAGTAAACAATGTATAGAGGACGCACTACAAAAACAAAATCTGCTACGATAACGTTATATACCCTCTGAGATCCTTGTGTAAAGATTGAAACGCCGCCCAAGGTACATGTACATCATTTCACCTAATTTTCAAAAGTTCGTGCAAAGTAAGAATATTATATCTTCAATAGCGCTCTATGGTTTAGGTGAGGTATTCCAAGTGAGCCATCAATTCCTGACAATCAGTGAAATGCTTTTTACCGATTAACACAATTTACATACTTTATGCAATTTCGCCGGTCCCATTTATACGGCACTCACCGAGGATATAGTCATTTGATTCCCTTTACATAAACAGTGTAGAATATTCATGACTGTGGCGAGGGACATTTCTGAACTACGAAACGCAACCAGACTCTGTAGGATCTCTCCCCAATTAACTTTAATTTTCCCTTTGTCGGCGTCTCAAGGATGATACCAAGTCAGGTTTACAACTGGGTATGGGGGGAGGGGGTCAGACTTCACTGAAGAGAACATATGTAGAGGGCATACTTTGTCCATCATTTCCGTCGTGTTTATCGGACATTAGTGCTGGAACCCAGCGCTCTTTTATTTATGCTATAAACATAAGTATTACACACACCCATATCATAGCCAATACGTTTCATTGTGGACGTTTTAGACTAAAAGAAACACGCGAAGCGAAGAATAATACAGAGACTTCGTCGCTCCACAAATTACGTCCGTATTAACAATAATCTTATTTGTTAACGTCACGGTCTGGTGAACGGGTAAATGTTCGGCAGTTTAAAGAATGGTCGCGACTAACACACTTTTCAGACAGGAATTTTCTGAAACGCAATTATTCATTGTGATTTCAAATGGTTGCAAACGCTATACGGAAAAGCCACAAAGTCGTTGTTTCCTTGGAAACAATTTCGAGTACCACCATTTTTTTAATTTTGTTTTTGTTACTGACAAAACACCAAGAATCTGTAGTGTTTTTATAGTGTTTCTAGTTTGTCTAGTTAGCCGCGTCATTCCTTAGGAATTGAGCGGGCATATTGTATTTATCCGTGATTTCGAACTTCAAGGTGAATCTATACAACAATAACGCTAAATACACTCGGAAAAAAACGCATTTGTGACTTTCATCGAAACAAGATTGATTTCGAATCAAGTCGAGACGATGGGAACTACTTCAAAAACGTAGAATGTGTAATACACTGATTGCGTGACCTTTGATCTGTTGAATCCGTTGCTGAGCTCAAAAAATGCTCCCGATTAATGCACAAATTGAAAACAGAGTACATACCAATATCAAATGTTAACGAAAATTGGGGCGTTTAACCACATTGTGAAGAACATTTTCCCCATTCGTTTAACGAAAAAAAAAAAAAAGAAAAGAAAAAGAAGTACCATCTGGAACCCAATTTACAGCACAAGTTCAGTGCGTGTTCGAGTGTCTCGCAAACGCTCGCGCACGTACGATTCGCTTCTATGGGATTTCTCGATGAGAGAATTTCTTGTTCAGGGGCACTGTAGCGAGAGGAGATACTTCATTTGAATACCAATCTGTCGGAACTTTATCTGAAGAAAATGCAAAGCGGCACTGTTGTTTACTTTTCAAACGGCCGCGGAGTGGAAGGAGCAGGCAAAAATGCCAAAAAGCACATGGGCAACGTGATCATGGCCATGGAGGTAAAATCAAACCAACTAACTGGGTAATGGGTAGATGTTTTCAAATTAAAACGTTGAACCAAGCACGGATGGCATAGTATATATGCATATCCATTGCCAGCGTTTGTTGAGATATTTCAGTAGTTTACGTCCATGGTAAAAACAAAATAAAGTAATCCTTTATTTAACCTTCCTGTTGGTTCAGCATGATTGGCATCTAGGGTAAGCTTCTTAGTCAAATGTGCCTTTAAATCGATGAGATTATAGTAAGAGATTATCACCAATTGGATGTAATAGTAGCGGAGCGCGGGATGAACAAACAAACAACTTCAAAGCGTGACGTCATTAATACCCCGCGCTTTGAAATGAACACGTAATCCGCTATGTAGATCGTTGTAAATTTCCATTCTAATACGAGGATAAATGAGACAAATTTAATAAATAGACGAGCGGCGGCCAGTGTGCATGTGATGAAAATCTATGTCATGTGTAGTGAAACATGAAATGTCGAGTGTACTGCAGCTTGTCTTATTTGCACGCTATATATAGGCTAAACAATGCTCTTCCAATGCTGCCCAGCCGTCGCCGTGGCACCGCGCCGATAACGAACGTCAACGCTTTTATACACATACCATATATAAATTGCATCAGTACCCTGATCGTGGATGATAACAAAACACAGATAATTTGAAACTACAGACTGGCAGGTGTTGAAATGGAACAACCGCTTTCAACTGAGACAGAACATATAATAAATACAACAGTTCGTGTTTGAAAAGCGGGTGATTATTTCCTCGCCAGTGGACTCCCATTCATGGGTGCACGGTAATGCATTCACGTATTATGATGAATACGTAACAACAATCGCAAAAAACAGCATCGATGCAGACAGGCGGAGACAGGGAGTTACTGAATAAAATTTCAATTTGTAATATTCGCTGGTATCATATAGTTGCTATATAACAGAGACCACACTGACTTGTTAAAATATATGAGTTACGGTACCCGTCAGCTATATAAACATTCACAGCGTGAAAAATTGACATGGAATCCATAATGCACCCGTTGTTTAGACTGGCCGCATATTGCTCGCAACACGCACGCGTCGGTCATGCTGATTCAAGCATGCACCAATTACTGAGGTCAAAGGCTAACGAGGTGATATGTCGGCCGCACACGGATACCGAAGTTTTGTTTCAAATTTATGGTCAGCGTAACTCATGCGAGAGTTACCGGCGAAATAAATAATAAAAAACAACAACAACGGTAGATAAACGAGATGGCGCATATTAGACAAACGTGCATACCTGAATTAATGTGCTCTGTTGATACGGTACACCGGTGAGACCTTACATAAACACAACTGTAACACAGGAAAGCAACAGATTCAGCAAAATCATCATGACACCCCCGAAAGTTAAATCGTCATTACAGTTCAACTGACGGGTCCTTGTGCGCACGAACACGTATTGTTGACGCAAGGGCGAGGTCCCGATACGTATATAACGTAACAAGCACTCCTGGTAATCAGTACTCAGTACTCAGTGAACAACCGTTGTGAGCAGTCACATCATTTCGGCACTTGAGATGTAATCAAGCGTTGATAATAGAATGAAACTGCCTAACGGACGCCAGTCGTCGCTTCTAGCCTCTGCAACGCATTTCGCGTCGCTCGCAGTGTTCCGAGGCGCGGTGGTAGTTTATAATACAATGCATCGCTGGCACAATACCCCTGTTATAACAGTAAACACTAGGTATTATCCTATTCCGAAACACGTCGTAAAGATAAAAGCCACTGATATGAACGTATGTCTTTGGACAGCATACGTGTAAATAACCAACATGTGCCGTGCAGACGTCTCCAAGTTCCTCTCTATATCTACAGTCCAATGTCGAGGAACTGTGCTTCATCCCAGTCTTTTTAATTCCGAAGCGCCGGGTTGACATTCTAACAAAATCATCATAACGCGATTTCACTATTGGTGCACGCACATATGGCTTACGCAATGCAATTAAAAACGAGGGCGCTGTACACCCCTCAAGTTTAGCTATGCGTGGCTCGGGTGAGGCCGTGGGGGTAAGGCTCGTATGTTGTTACAAGTAATGTCACGACACACATATAGAGTTTGGACCAGTTGTTCTAAGTCGATGACAAGTTGGTGCAAAGAGACGTTACAATGATAGGAATGCATCTATGATAAACAGTGTGACGCGAAATCGCGAATTCACGGCGGAATCCAATAGGTCATTGCCAAGTGAACCTACCCTACCACACCTTACATTCACCATCCACTAACTAGACGGGTCGTTGTGGGTATTGACGATCCGGGCCGTTTTACCGACTC